GTATAGAAACGGCTCCATTTTGAGAGTAGGCTGATGAAAGAATTAGATAAGCGGTCTCTTTGTAACACTCCGAGTTTCTTCCGTGACTGAAAATACAGAATTACAGTAAGCAATCCGTTACGGAAGCTTTTCAGACTCAGAATTTGGCTTGATTTGTCAGCCGGGGGAGGTTATAAAATACATGAGCCAGAGTCGCCTCTTGTAGATTAGCATTAAGCTGTTGGCTGGCTAGTGGATTTGATTTGTTAGATTTTTGATAATATTCATATTTTATAGGGGCAGACTCCTTTTGACGATTATTGTGATGACACTGGGCCATCTCATATTGAGAAGGTGTTTAATTTTGATTGTCCTACTAGACCTGGTAAGTAGTTACTGATTAGAATATTAATATTAACTATTAAAGTTACTGTATTTAGCTTCTGTGATTGTGTAAGATGACTTTAGAAGTGAAAAAGTTCTCACTTATTGTAGACATGCCCTCGAGCCTGCCCATTGACATCCCAGATGCCAAGAAAAGGAATAAGAAGAAAAAAAGATGTCGGGCCACAGACAGCTTCAGTGGCAAATTTGAAGGTAAATCTGTTGATTTTATAACGTGTGATTCCAAGATAAATTATGTAACTGCAGACTGAATTTGTATCACATCCAAGAACATAATTTTCCATTTCTTACTCCTTTAACCGTTGCTGCACTTTTTACATTCAGTACTGAGACTGAGTAAGAAGTGGTTAAGGTTGTTAATTGATCAGCTTTCCAGTTGTTTAAAACATGTGCAATCTGTAAGCGAAAGATCACTCTGAAGTAAGATGGATTAATGGGCTACAGTTGAAATGGAGATTTTAGATGTGGGGTTTTTATTTTTCAAGAAATTATGAAGTATAACCCCCCCCCCCCCCATAATTAATTGTCAACTTTGACTTTCTGCTATTTACATATTATAAGCATTGTATGTATTTTGCTGGTGTCACCCATGTCAGCACAACAGACTATGGTAATTCAAGGAGGAGAAGGATATAATTTTTGGGGCTAAAGAGATCAAAGGGTGTGGGGCAAAAGCAGGAACCTAAGATGGTCAGCCATGATCATATTGAATGGTGAGCAGCTTAAAGGGCCAAATGGCCTACTTCTGTTCACATTTCTTGTTCTCTAATTGTCCTAATCTATGCCACTGCTTGATGTGCTCAAGTTCCAGTTGATTTTACATTAGTTTGAACACTGGCAAATAATTCTATCTTGTTCTTTAATTTGAGAACTTTGCTTTCATTGGGTTGTATTAAAGGGAGGATTGTCCCAACTGTCTTTGGATTAGTGTCAAAACTTCCTTTAACTTTTCGCAGATGTTTACAAGCTAAATGGAGAGATGTTGGGAGAGGGTTCATTTGCCAGAGTCCAGACCTGTGGAAATCTAATCACCAACAAGGAATATGCTGTGAAGGCAAGTGGAGCACTCTTCTTATCAAAAATGTAGTTTGCTTCACTTAGAAAATGATTGGACCAATTGGAATGGTTTTATGGGTATGGTTACATTGGACAATGCTGCATTGGAACTTTTCCCATCCTGTTCTGTCATCTGTAAACATCACAAATTGAATCATTATGAATTTTTTTATTGTCAGGAAAATACCTTCAAATACAGATCTTAAGCTTTAAAACTATGATCTTCTAAAGATATGTAAACAAAAGCAAAGTTGAATAATGTTGCTTTTTGCAGGAAACTGCTGTAATCAATCTTTGTTTGAGGGATGGAATTAGTAGGTATTTTTCTAACGAACAGTTATGTTATTACACACCCTAGTTGGGACTTGAACTGAGATCACCTGGCTCAGAGGAAGGGGTACTTCCACAGTGCCACAAGAGCCCTATAGCGGAAATGCTATTCCACAGACAAATCTCAAGAATTGAAATACATGCCCGCCTGAAATTATTTGCATTACAAGACTTCCAGACAGTAGACAGGATGCATTGTAGGGCAGTTAACTTGTTAGATTTGTAAATGGTTCTAGTGGAGAAGGTTGGTGGTCTTGTAAAGATATGAGATGGTGAGGATAAATATTTACATTGTCATGGAGCCTACCGCTGGTTGCACAGCCTCAATCCTAGAAGAGGGAGGGAATAAATGGTGTGAATGTGTTTGAAAAAGAAACATTGCTAAGTTAAATGGTAGAGCTACTTGTATTCAAGTTGGTGAATATTTGAATAGATGGGTACAAGAAATGCATAGTCATATAGCACAGAAACAAACCCTTTGGTCCACCTTGTCCATGCCGACCAGACATCCCAATCTGACCTAGTGCCATTTGCCAGCATTTGGCTCACATCCCTCCAAACTTTTCCTATTCATATACCCATCCAGATGCCTTTTTAAATGTTGCAATTGTACCAGCCTCCTCCACTTCCTCTGGCAACTCATTCTGTACATGCACTACCCTTTGCATGCAAAAACTATCCCTTGGGTCTCTTTTAATATCTTTACCCTCTTACCTTAAACTTATACCCTCTAGTTTTGGACTTCCCCAGCCTAGGAAAAAGACCTTGGCTCTTCACCCTATGCATACCCCTCATGATTTTCTAAACCTCTAAGGTCACCCCTCAGCGCCTGACACTCTAGGGGGTAAAAGTCCCCAGCCTATTCAACCTCTCACTACAACTTGGGAAGTGTGAAACTAACCAGATCAGCCATTCTGGTGTTTTGTGGCTTAGTTGCTCTATGCTTGGACTTGCATGGTAATGAGACAATGTGAGAAGGTATTTTTGGTGCACTGGTAAGATCCAACATCTTGAGCCAGGAGACCCAGGCTCAAGTCCCACCTGCTCCAGAAGTGTGTGAAAGATCTCTGGACAAGTTGAATAGAGTATATCTTGAACAATATGGACAATTGGTGTTTGAATTCCAGCCCTGTTGTGTCACTTTCACCACAGTTTTCACTTTTTGTTCTTTCCTGTGTCTGCTGCTTGCAAGTTTTGGAAGTGGAACTAATTCTGCAGCACCAAGCTGCCTTTTGTTAGGCTGATTGGAGCTACAAGTTCGAGATATCCAGTGTAAATCATTGATTTTCTGAGCTTGACAATTCACTGACGATAAGCTATAAAATGACATTTCCATATTTTTGTTGAAGATCATTGTTTCCTTTTAACCTATCACCCTTTTACAATGACTTTTTTGCTATGTATTTGGAAAAATGATATTTTATTCACAAACTGCAACTATGTAGGTAGAACCTAAATATGGTGTGTATCAGGCAAAGGCTAAATTCTTGATGCAATATGGAATACTTGATTAAAAAGTGGGATTGAAGAAGTTTTATGCAACAGCTGTGCTTTCCCCCCCCCCCACCCCTCCAAATCCTCTTTTGTGCACCTACTAAGTCAGGGTTAATGGTATGAATTTTGGGGTTGCTAGCAGAAATGGCTAAAACATGCTTTTGAGTAACCAGCTTGTGGTCTGATGGATGTTAGCAATTCTTTGTGCTTGATGCGGTTTGGCCTTAAATTTGGAATCCGGCAAGATAGGACTATTTGGCTGACAGTATATTTTCTCCAGAAAATAGCGGGTTAAAGCGTGTGCCAGAGTTGCAGAGGCTGGATAAATGAGTTGCCTTTGCTTTCCCACACTGTGGGGTGAAGGAGTCTTTGGTTACTTTATGGGGGAAAGAGCAGAAAAAATGCTTGCTTTGGAACTGTATACTACAAGCCAGCCAGTCTTGTTCAGTCTACCATATGATTTGCTGCCCTTGTGCTGGGACTAGATGCAGTATAGAATTAGTCACGAGTGCTCAGTCTCTTGATTTAGGGTTTGTGAGAGCAGGGTGGTGTGGTTCTTTTTTGTTTTGTTAGTAATCTGAGCCGTTTTATATTGCTGAGGGTGGGACAGTCTTGAGATTTTGGATGATGTGCAGCTGGCAGTGGGGACATTGTGTTTGGTGCTAAACAAAGCAGTTGGCGGTGGAGGAGGGGAAGGAGTGGGGGTTGGGACTCTGCAGCTCTGCCGTGGGTGTTTGCAAACTTTGCTCTAAGCAGCTGTTTTTAATTTGAGCTAGCAGTGATCTGTGAAGAGCATTTGGTCTGAATTGCATTCCTTGTGTAGAGAATTTACCAAATGCTTCAAATGAGGAGAGATTTAAAAAGTGATTTTCTTTGTGTTGCAGCAATAAGTGGGCAGCATTTTAATATTGTGTAAGTTTGCTTGGTTCAGTGAGCTGGTAGTGTAGCTTAAGTTTCCCTTTTTGATTTCTATAATTTACCCAATTGTCCTTTCTTCTGTAAAGATGTTCAGATCAAAATAATTGTGCTTTTGATTGAAAAGTGAAGCTGCATAGTTATATCATGATAAGCTTTCCTGGAACATAATGTGTAAAAACATTTGACCTGGGTGGGGATTAATATCAGCAACAGTGTTTTCTTAAGGTAGTTAACCCTTGCTTGGCTAGAGGTAGTCAAGCCACCACCTTTTTGATCTGAAAGGCAAGATTTATGCTGTTAAAAGGTGTAGAGGAATTCTGCAGTGTTTGCAGTCTGGCATAATGTGCTTTCCACTTGTAAATATGTAAATAGTGATTATTTTTGTAAATGCTCATAGTGGTTATCATTGAGAAAGTAAGAGTACATTTGCGAAAAAAGCTTCTGTTGGCATAATAAGCAATTGCATTTGTGCATATTTTGAGGATTTTGCTGATCACTATTACTCAGCCTATTTGTGTGGTTGGATAAGATTTGTGAAATGAAATGTTAAAATTGTAATTTTTAACGAGGCAACAAGGCAAATAGTTTTTTAAAAAATTGACTGGAATGTTATGAACAATGAGGCATTGTGACCATGCAGTCACATCACAAACTACACTAGGACTTTGCATTTCTGGATACTGAAGAGCTGGTTTATTCTTTGCTCATTGCAGATTATCGAGAAGAGACCGGGCCACAGTCGCAATCGGGTGTTCCGTGAGGTGGAGATGCTGTATCAATGTCAGGGACACAGGTATATGATGGCTCTGTTAATCCTAAAGAGAAGTAGGAGATATTTAATGTGCAGTACTCTATCTGCTGACAGGATAGCTTTTAGTCCATCAGGTGATTGCTGTAAATAGATAATCCTGATGTAAGACTAGGGAATGGCTTTGATTCAACAGAGCTTAAATACTGCATGAGCAGTACAATTATTTCTGTTACAGTAGATTTTGATCTTGCTTTTGAAATGCATTTTCATATTTAAAAGCACCAGCACCTTGTCAGTGAATTTTGATACAATGCTAAGTGATGTGGAATGTTTGAATTGTATCTGGAACATTAGGTACTGTAGATAGGTGTTGCACTGGGTTGGTTACGCTGTTGTCACAATTTGTAGAATTAACCATTTTATAATTGTCTATCTTAGGAACATTCTTGAACTAATCGAATTCTTTGAAGATGAGGACAAGTTCTATTTGGTTTTTGAAAAGATGAAAGGAGGTATGTGTTGTAAATAAGTGTACGCTGGATATCTATAGACAGCCACTGTGTCTAGCAGTAATAGAAGTGCAGCCTGTGACTGGTTAATTTGGGGGAATAAAATGTTGTTTCGTGACCCTTTTTAATGTTCTAAAACAGTGTTTCCTGAACAAGTCATGGGTCTCAACGCGAAAGGTCAACTTTCCTGCTCCTCTGCTGCCTGGCCTGATGTGTTCCTCCAGCTCCACACTGTCTCTGACTCCAACAGTTCTTGCTGTCTCTAAGGGACTTGTAAAGCTTGACAGGCTGAGGTTTTTTGAATTTCTAGGAGGTTGGTTCTGTGGTGAATTATCCCTTAATCGTTGTGTTTAAAGCATTTTGTCAAATAAAAGATGATGATGTTGCACCATTCTGTGTGGCTTAATTGTTTGAAAATGAGGTCTTTTTTTTTTGTTACTGTTTGATCCAGTTTGATGACCCTTTGGCTTTTGGGAGGGACACTGATTTAGTATTGATCTATAAATTTTTTTTATTTTCCCCTGCCTTGAGAGTGGTTTCAATTCGCAAAATAAGTCAGGTGGCCATCTTTAGCCGCTTATATCCAGTGTTAAAACGTACAAATTAGCTTGATTTCTAGAATCTGTTGGGACATGACAAAAAAAGGCCCCTGTTCTACACCCTGTCAACAGTGTGGAGCTGGGCGAACACAGCAGGTCAGGCAGCATCAGAGGAACAGGAAAGTTGATGTTTCAGATCGGGACCCTTCATCAGGACTCCTGCTTTACACTTGGGCTAGTTTGGCTTTGATCAAATCGGGAAATAATTCCGATTGAAACCATGAGTTATCTGCAAAAGTCCATTTGTAGGAAATCTAACTGCATCCATTTTTAGAGGAGGCAATGGATTTATTTGATATGTTAGCAGCAACTTTTTTCCCCTCAAGTTAGTGAACTACAATTTGAATTTCTCCACGCAGTTATGGCACATAGCGGATTCTTATTGTGTTGAATGCCTATTTACCTATTTCTCATTTGGAAAAATGCCTTTATTTAATAACTGATATTTTGGGGTGGATTGGATTGCCTTTCCTTTTACCATTGTATGTGGACATCTTTGATAAGTCAGACCTCCTAATCAGACACTTCCTTTAAAAACCTTTTCCAGGCTCTGTATTAACACACATCCACAGACGAAAGCACTTCAATGAAAGAGAAGCCAGTGTTGTTGTCCGTGAGATAGCAAGTGCACTGGATTTTCTTCATAACAAAGGTAATTTTAACCTAGCAAGTTGTGGAAATTTTGTTTAATTTTTATCTGCTATGATTAGTACAGAACAAGGTGCACTAGATAGTGAATTAGTATTTTATAAGCATCAGGAGATCACCTGATGCTCTAGTTTGTTCTGACTGTACTCCTCTTGTGAAGACATCAAAACCAAAGAAAGATCCTTTCCCCCACCCTCTTCCAATAAGCACTGTTAAGTGAAGTGGCTTGCATTTCCCAGGCTGACGTTCCCATTATGCAGATAGCATCCTTTACATGTAAACTCAAACAATGGGTTTTGGCCAACAGCGAGTGAATGGTGGCCAAACTCAATCGGTACTCATCCAACATCTACATGCGTTTCCAGGAGTTGCTGAATAATGATCAGGAACTGTATGTTTCCTGTCCTATTTACTCCCTGCGCCTCCTTTTGCCAAATGTGGAGGACATTTGTAAAGATTTATCCTCCCCCTTATCTGGGGTTTGCCAACTAATGACAGACTCGTATTGCACCTCAGGCAACCTGGTTTTAATAGTTTTGGAGTGGTTTTAAAAAGGAGGTAAACCAGAAATTTGCCATGTTAAGGCATTTGCTTGACTAATGGTATATGGGTATATGTTTCACACCAGAAAAGATTTCTGAATGGTGGTAGAAATAAATGGCACTGAATTGAAATATTTCTGCATGATCTAATTTCCCAAATGGAATTTCTTTTCAGGCATGGCCCATAGAGATCTGAAACCAGAGAACATCTTGTGTGAGAACCCAGAACAGGTAGGCACCATTTAAGTGTAAGCTAGAAATAATGTTTATTGTAAACAACACTCTCTCAATGAAATTTATCAGTTAGGGGATATTTCACCTTTTTTACTTCATTGAGAAAATGTTGATTTTTGTCTGGCAGTTGGCCAATTTGTAAGCTGGCTACAAAGGAAGAAAGAGCTTAAGTTTCACAAATAGAATTGGATCATTGGTGATGAGCTGCTACCAGAATGTGTTTTTTTTTTCCTATGGCTGCTACTAGCAGCCAATGAAAATTGTTTCTTCTTGGGCAGTGCATTTTTGCAATTGCATACACCTGAAGCTTGCATGAAGCTGATCCCTTTCCTGAACTGACTTCACTGTAAAAGCTGATGGTGTGTACCAAGCTTATGGAAAATAAACTAGAAATACCCACGTGACAGTCAGCTTCTATAGATACAGCTAACAGCTGATCTACAGCTTTCTTTTATTAGAGTGTAAAAGTAAAACCTAAGTTGGAGACTCTTGGTTGTTACATTGAAGCATCACTTGTGACTAGAATATAGACTAATTTCGTTGAAACGTCGGTTTATCAATCTTCAGTGACCAAAAGTGGGATGAGTTTTCTCAGTGCTTGCACACGTGCAGTTTCTCAAGGGAGCCCTTTAGAGAGGTTTCCTTTCCCAATCGCTTTCCCCCAACTCCAAATTAAAAGGTGCTAAGGCTAACTGACACGGTTAATCAGCTCATGCTTGTTAGCGATCCTGACCTCTGGTTCTGTGATACATCAGTAACTTTGCTGATTGGCAGAGTTTTTATTTATTGAGTCTGAACGGGGTTAATACTTCATTCTGTGCAACAAACACCAATCCCAGTATTCACATCCTGAGCTCTTGGTGGGAGAATAAAGTCGGATCTTGTAGGAGTTAGACCTAAGGCAAGGACTCCAACATTCTTTGTAGAAATGAAGAGTCTGTTCCTATAAACTGTAACTAGTTGCAGGGAAGCAATAAGCTACATCTTGTTTAAGGAGATAAGTAGCATAAACCATAAAATGGCTGCCCCTACACCAGCCCGTGTAAGCCTCTGAAGAGCACATTTGCTTCCATCAGGATGGCAACATACGCAAGTTTAACCTACAATGTTTTTAAGCAGCTTATTTTGGTTACATACATTGTTAGCAAACTGATCATATAAACACCATCCCCCACTGTCAACATCCTGGTGTATACTATTGACTAGAAGCTGAACTGGCCTGACTACATCAGAAGGTCAGATGACAGGAATCCTGCAGGAAGTAACTTAACTGACTCCCCAGTGCCTGTTCACCATGCAAGGCATGGGTCAGGAGTGTGCTGGAATATTTCCATCTGCCTGGATGAGTGCAGCTTCAACAAAAACTCATGAAGATCAAAAACCAATTGGAATGAAAACACCCACTTCTTTGGCACCACAGTGGCAGCAGTATGTACCATGTTAAAAGAAACAGTCAGAACTTGCAAAGGCACCTCCAACAGCAGTTTGCAAATCAATGACCTCTACCATCTAGAAGATCCCTTGGAGCACCATCTTGCAAGTTCCCCTCCAAGCCAAGTGCTACTCTGAATTGGAACTTAATGAGTCAAAATTCTGGAACTCCCTTCCCAACAGCACAGTGTATGTACACCAGTGGACTGAGGCAGTGAAAGAGGCAGCTACCGCCATGTTCTCAATGCCAATTAGAATTAGCCTGTCATGCTGGCCTAGCCAGTGACACCCATATCCCATGAATTTTTTTAAATCCAGTTACACCAAAACAAATGAGAGAGGGGAGGTTTATTTTCCAATCAGAATTTGGAGCTGACCAGTTATTGTATTTGCTCTGTCCCTTACTTTTAGCTTTCCCCAGTCAAGATCTGTGACTTCGACTTGGGAAGTGGAATCAAATTGAATGGTGATTGCTCCCCGATTTCGACCCCTGAACTTCTGACACCGGTAAGAAGTGGGCTTAGTTAGATCTATTAGATGGATTACATTCAGAATCTGCAGTTGACTCATTGCTGTGAAAGCTGTAGCTATTAAACCTGAAATTCTGCCACACACCACAGATAACTTGATCATGTGATTGATGTTCAATTGCTCTGAGATCACCAACACTTCCTTATGACCCTTAATTGTTAATTACATTGTCTTTTGCAAGATTTCCCTTTGAGTGCATCTGTGCAATTCTACTCAGTAACTCACTTGTCAATTTTTTTGCTCTCTTGCCCTGTGCTCTGGGCATTCATATTTTATCACCTCTGTGCAATATTACTTCTGAGCCTAGTTTAGGGTTTTTTATGGCGAAAAAGAATTTGATGCTGTTGAGGTGCTGCATGTTCCATTATTTACCTTTGTTTAGATACAGATTTCATGATTTAAAACATGGGTTTAGTTTCCTTAAGCCAGCTAAATTATTACCGTGAAGATGCACCTATTATGTTTTGTGCTTATTGATGAGTGTTATTATACATTACAGTAAAAATAGTAAGGATATGAACTGTATCTTGAGTGGGGGCCTGATCTGCTGGCCGTTCAGCAAAATAGTGAGACTGCCCAGAAGTAACAGTCTTTGGTTTGGAATTACTTTAAATGTTAAAATCCAATTTACTTGTGAGTTTGGTTTTGGTGTGAAACTAAAACTACATCTCACTATTAAACTCATAATATGAATGCACCCTTCAGTTTCATTTAAAAATTAGCTATAATACTAAAGGGCTTACGGAGTGTGTGCATGCAGCACTTTGAGCGAAAAGTACTTGCCAGCTATAGTGTGGTCTTAAATGTCACTGAACTTGTGAACTTTCCATGGTTTGCATGTTGCTATAAGGTTCACATTTGGCACCATTCAGGCTCAAGGTCGGTGTGTTCTAGCCAACAAATACCTTCCTAGAAAGATTTCCCGTACTTCTCGGAGAATCATGAGCTGAATGTTATTTTCAATCTATCAGTAGCTGCTTAGTGTAGATGAGAGCTGCCCCTCCAATCAGTGTTTGAAATTGAACTGCGTGCAGAACTCTGTACTTTCAGGTTTGTAGTAGGACTTAGTTTATTTTCAGGATAACCGTTTGCATATTAGTAAAAGTTTTAAATGAGGGTTTGGGACAAAGTGCATTGGCTTGCGTAGGAAAATTCCCATAGCCAATTTGAATAAACATTCAACCTTTTTGTGGATTGAATAAGGTCTATCGGAGGGTTGTAGTTGCACCCTTTTTGTTTGCTGCTGGGTTTCATTGGAAATGGGGCATAACCTCTATTACTGATCTCAAAAGGTAAATTATTTACCAAGAGCAGACAAATTCCAAATTTGCAAGGGATATACTTAAACTTTCACTGCTTTGTGAACTTGCACAGTAGAACATTTCAAGATTCCCATTAGGGACTTGAGGGCAGCATGAATATTTCAATTGCACATTTTTGCTTTCATGAAGTTCTGTCTTAGGCCTTGACCTGGTGTACTGTTTGGCTGGATTGTGGATATGTTTAATAATTGCAAGGCTGATATTGCAGAAGATACCTTTTTAAATTGGTGTTTATGCTGTGTTTAGTTAAGTATTGATTTCTTGAAGGATTCTCCAGAAAATAGCAATTACCCCATAAGAGATAGGTTAATGGCTATTTTCTGCAGTGTCTGCAAACATTTGAGATATTGATCAATCTGTTTCTGGTCCAATATTGGCTTCTGAAATAATTACTGTGATCAAATGTTGCTGTTATTTCTGAAACTATCAAGCGTAGAATGAGAATATGAAAATCTTGTGTTTGCTTGATTTGTCCTGTTTTTATGTGGATTGTGCATACTAATTACTATAGCAATAAAGTATGCTTGCCATGCTTTTTTTTTACTACTACCCTCTCCTGTCCAGTCATCTGCATATGTAAAAAACTGATATAAATTCAGAAACTTAAAATTTGTTGTCAGCTTGGTCAAATTAAAATTTGTATTACTAAGTAGAAAAAATGGTTTTGGTTTGCCTACACAAACGGCCAGTATCCTATCTTCCACAGACCTACCACCTGTCATTGGACACTTTGACACGCATTTTATACTTCTTATACTGTGGCAGTGTCAACTAGATTTTCTTTAATATTTTGGCTTTTGAAGCTTTTTAAAACTTGTTTTTAACTTAGCTGTGTAGTGTACTCTGTACATCACAGGCCAACTGTGCCTTCATGGAATTGAACCCATGCCTCCATAAGAAACAGTTGTTTAAAAACTAATCATTTACTGTAATGCTGCTAATAGTGTCTGCTCTTCCATAGCTCACAAGCCTATAAGTGTTTATAATCAAATAACTGCTAGACTTTGTGTTTCCAAATATTTACAATGGCTGAAGTGGGAACATAAAATTAAGATGAGTGATGTGAGAATCTTGTTAGACCAGAAAGTAATGGCCAATAAGTTGCACAAAAATCAATGTGAACTGTGTGGCTTTTGCTTAGTTTGGGTTGTACCTATATTTCATCATGTTACTTCGTTATGAGCAAAACAAAGTTCCACACAGCTCAGCAGATCTGATGCAATTGGTGGAAATGTGGGTGTTTCACAAGAAGGGCAAAGGGCACTTCAGCTCTCTGTATAAGGTTAGGTTGTAGGGAGGGGCTAAGTGTCTGTGCCTCGGATTTGTTCCTTTTTACGAAGGGGCCATAATAGGATGTGTAATTATCCAGTTGCTGTTAACACTGGTGAAATTTTGCTTTAAATCAGCAGCAAGGTGCAAGTCACTAGTCATGTATAGTTTTTTTTTCGGTGTTTCTTGTTTAGTAGTTTGGGTCTGTCTGAGCAAAGGGTTTTATCTCTTGGATTTTTGAATAATTGAGCTAGATTTTCACTTCTTTGTTTATAATACTGACCTACTGTGATCTAGCTTTTATTCAGGATATGATTTCTTGTTAGCTTGCACCCTATTTCTGCTTTTCCAATTTTATAGCCATTCAAAATGGCTCAAATTTATTTTTATCATCTTTAAAGCCTTAAATGTTCTTCCTTTTTCCTATCTCTGCACCCTTCTTGCAGCCTTGTAGATCTCTTCTGCCTGAAGCTGCTTGCTCCCTTATTAAATCTCTCTTTATCTTATTCGTTTCACAACATTGCCTGTGCCTTTTGCCACCTAGGTTATGTTCACTGGGGGGAGAAAACCTGCCTAAATCCTCTGTGCTTCTGCCCTCTCAAGACCCCGCCTCCTTTAATATATACTCCTTTTGACTTAAATCAAATGCTTACCAGATGCGTTCATAGGTCCAGCCTCAACAATAATCACTCGGCAGTAAAACCAAACAGCATGCTTTCTAGGTGTTGCTGCTGCTGGATTCTGTCTTTGGCCTGGTGTATATTGCATGTTTTATAGCATACTCTGCAGCAGCTCACCAAACTTGTTTTGCCAGAACCTCACAGCCCAACGATCTCCTCTACCAGAGGAGAGTCATAGGAACACCATCACCCCCAAGTCATACTCAAATATTGGACAATTTCTAACCTATCCCATTTGGGAGCAGCATTGCTTTTTTTTTTAAAGCAATAGTGGTTCAAGAAAGTGACACTTCACCCCTACCCTCAGCAACCACAGCTGGGCAAGAAAACTCCAATAGTAGGAACTGCCAATGCTGGAGAATCTGAGATAACAAGGTGTAGAGCTGGATGAACACAGCGGGCCAGGCAGCATCAGAGGAGCAGGAAAGCTGACGTTTCTGGTCTGGACCCTTCTTCAGAAATGGGGGAGGGGAAGGGGACTCTGAAATAAATAGGGAGAGAGGGGGAGGCGATGATAGAAGATAGATAGAGGAGCAGATAGGTGGAGAGAAGACGGACAGGTCAAGAAGGTGGGAATGAAGCCAGTACAGGTGAGTGTAGGTAGGGAGTTGGGTTGGGGGTTGGTCAGTGAGGAGGGAGGGGCAGGTAGGTGGGAGGGAAGACGGACAGGTCAAGGAGGCAGGGATGAGGTGGGCTGGCCTTGGGATGAGTTTGCGGGAGGGGAGATTTTGAAGCTTGTAAAGTCCACATTGAGACCATTGGGCTGCAGGTTTCCCAGGCGGAATATGAGGTGTTGTTCTTACAGCCTTCAGGTGGCATCGTTGTGGCACTGGAGGAGGCCCAGGATGGACATGTTGTCCAGGGAGTGGGAGGTACAGTCGTTTGTCGCGAACCGAGCGTAGAGACCGCTTTGTGGAACACCTAAGCCTCTGCTTGGTTTCCCTGATGTAGAGGAGGCCACATCGGGAAACCAAGCGGATACAGTATACCACATTAGCATATGTGCAGGTGAGCATCTGTTTAATGTGGAAGGTTTTCTTGGGGCCTGGAATGGAGGTGAGGGGGTAGGTGTAGCACTTCCTGCGGTTGCAGGGAAAAGTGCTGGGGGTGGTGGGGCTAGTGGGGAGTGTGGAGCGGATGAGGGAGTCACGGAGAGCGTGGTCCCTCCGGAATGCAGATAAGGGTGGGGAGGGAAATATATCCTTGGTAGTGGGGTCCGTTTGCAGGTGGCAGAAGTGGCGGAGAATGATGCATTGAATCCGGAGGTTGATGCGGTGATACGTGAGGGCAAGAAAACTCGTTTTGCCAGTGTGGTACATGCACTGAAAATAGATTGCAGACTTCTGCTAGATTCTGTCCTTGAACCGAAGCCCTGATGTAAAATTCCCAGAAAAGTTCATAAGTTTATTTTGAAGATGAACTAGTTCCAAGTAAATTGCAAACTGGGAGTGGCCTGTATACGGTGGTATGGTGTGACTGATTTACAAGGTTAGGAAAGTCCCTTTTTTTTATATAGCTAACGAGCGACTTGCAGATTGTAGGCCTGAGTTGCATCACATTTTTGATTGATCTGTAGAATTGCTGGGTTTATTGTTGTATACATAGGTCACTTAAGATTGTTTTCAGCATAAATACTCACTAAATATTAACCATGGTCTGCAGTATAACACTCTCAGACTTGATTCTGCAAATTTGTTTTTAGTTTCTAAATACTTATAAAAGAAAACCAGGCTCATAGATATGTTTGTCTGTGACTATATTGGACAGACACTTTGTACATGATCCATTTCGACAAAATTCTGTGGTGACTAATAGAGGAGATGTGATACCTTGTGTATTTCTTTATATGGGGATTTTGATTAACTATGATCTCTGCATAGGTCGTGTACGTAATGAAGCAAATACATATGTGATGTGACAAATCTAAAAGCGTTCATTTCTTTTTAATTGAACGAGATGAGCTGTCTGACTGTGAGCTTGGTTTTGAAGCGTATTTCTTTTCAGGGGCTATCCAATTGTTTGAACTGTTAGGTTGCTCATTATTTGAATGTGTGCTTGCCAGCTTCCTGAAAGATTAACAAGTAGTTGGAAACTGTATATGACACTGTTTAAAATTATTCTGCAAGTGGGAAATTGATCTGCCAGTTACTTTTTAAAATTGCAAAACATTCTTTCCTTTGCCCACAGTTTTTTTTTTTCCTTTTTTTGTTTATGAAAAGCATATCTTCATTTAAATATCATAGCTTTCTTTGCCTCCAAATGGAAGAACTTCTTTTTTAAAAAACAAAAGCTTATCATTCTATGATGCAGTTGTAACTTTCTGTCAGAGGAGGATGTCTGTGGATAAGGAAAAGGCAGTGCTGTCAATAGAAGGAAGATCCACCGATTATAGCCTCTCTAAAGTTGTTGCTCATGTATCACAGTGATGTAGGCAGAGGCCTGGATGTAAATCATCTGCTTCTTGCTGCTCTGACTGATACAGCTGGGAAATGGGAACGCTACCATGGCATGATCAGTTATTTTTCCCTTCTGGTGATGAATGTAGGATTGTCATTTGGAAATCACTTTTACTTACAAACAGGCCAAAGTGACGAGTTAAATGTTCATAAAAGTTGACTGTGATGTTCTAGCATGAAAAAAATTGCCTCAATATTGATTGTGCTGAAAACCAATACTGTCATCTAAATGTAATTCTGTTGTGTTTTCAATTTTTAAAATGTGGCAATTTTAGCATAAAGCATTGTGGATGAATTATAACATCTAATTCCTGTGAATTCTTTTTATTTTTATATACGTATATAGTGTGGGTCTGCCGAGTACATGGCCCCAGAAGTTGTGGAGGCGTTTAATGAAGAGGCTACGATCTATGATAAGCGCTGTGACCTCTGGAGCTTGGGTGTTATACTATACATCATGCTCAGTGGATATCCGCCCTTTGTCGGAAACTGTGGTACTGACTGTGGTTGGGACCGAGGGGAGGCCTGTCTTTCCTGTCAGGTGAGTGACCTACGTTTTTTACACATAGTCTGTAAAATCCCATTTAAAACATCAGGCATTTCATGATTGGCTCATTTTTCATATTGAAAGTTCACATACAATGAAAGCTTGTGGCAGTAGACTTCAACTAAGAATAGGTCCACAATAATTACATTTCTTGAAATGGAAGTAAGTGTTACAAATTTTATCTGACAAACTAGATGCTAAGATCCCAATGAAATTGGATGATTGCAGTACAGAATTGAAGGTCTGTCGACTCTCCCTATTAAAATACTTAAGACTATTTGTAACTGTGTGCTTTTATGGATTCTGGGGTAAATGGGTTCTGGTTTTGTGGTATATTTTGGTATAGGGGAGGAGCAATGCATATTTTTCATTGGTTTATTACTGCTGAGAACGCCATTGGGAGCAGTATGCCTGTGCTGCCAACAGCTAGCCAACATTAATGTAACACTTAACTGCTGAAGTGCCATGGACAGAATTAGAAGCAGAAGGATAGAATCTTGAAGGATGGTGTTTTGGCGTATGAGCCTGTGAATGCTTTTATACCTTTGTGCATTTCACCTGTAGATGGGCTGAGGTAGGGTTGCAGGTGATAATTGTTAAGAGGGAAATTGATTCTTGTAATTAATATACAAAGAATATGAACTTAACATCAGTGTTGAACTTGCCATGAAAGCTGCAGTTTGATTAAGGTTGAGATAGTATCTAGAGAGGTTGGCTGACTGGAGAAAGACTAGATCTATAGTGACAGCTGTGGAAATTTGAGGCTTTTCAGAATTGAATATCTGTCAGAGCAGAAACATTGGAGGTGGATATTATCCAAATGGCAATTTTCCGTGAGTCTAACAGTGTGAACATTGGTAAGATACGTACGACGGAAGCATCATAGCCAGACCTGGTCATGCTGACTTCCTCGTGCTTTCTTGCTGTAGGATCATCCTTCCTAAATTGGCCGGAGGGGTCATATTGAGACCACTGCTGTCCTGACTGAGACAAACCAGGGACAAAAGTGGCAGTTTTTTTTTTCGTTCTGTCTTTGTAGGCTGACTGTCAGAGGTGAATTTGTGTATTGTGGCTTCAGGGTCCACAGAGACATGCTGAGGTCAGTCAGTTTTTTGTGTTTTTGGACTGAATTGATGTTCGACATCCATAGTCCTGACCTACACATTCAGGAACTCTGCACGTGGTAAACTGGACAGAATCCACCCACTGAAATTTAGGACAAATTACATAATCAACTTTTTGAATTGGTTTCACATTCCTGTTACTAAGAATATCTGGCTTAAAAGTGATATCCTATGCCATGAGAAATGTAGGGAAGTTGATGTTATTTTTGTTTCCAGCTGGTGGTCATCAGCCAAAGCTGTGTCAGGTAAATGTTGAATTGGAATGCAAGGGCACCATTTTTGACTTAACAAAGTTCCAAAGCTCGTAACTAGGCAGTTGTCAATGCAAGGTTGACAATATGCCACTATTACAAATCTCAAATATAGGTAAATATTGCTTGGTGTGTTTAATCAGCAGGTTTGCTCAATTTTTAAGAAATCCCCATTAATAATGAAAGTGACCATTGTTATAATCTTAATACTAGGGCTTGAAGCATTCACTGAAACAGCAAAACCCAATAAAAGGGGTCTGTATGAACTGCAGCACACACGACAATCCAAATAAAAACAGGTGACTTTCTCCAGCAGAAGCCAGTGTATGAAGGGCACTTGTGAATGCCTTTGACCTGTTGCTCTCCTGTCCAATTTCATACTATAGCTGCAAAAACAAAGTTGCTGGAAAAGCTCAGCAGGCCTGGGAGCATCTGTGAAGTAGAAAACAGAGTTAACGTTTCGGGTCCAGTGACCCTTCGTCAGAACTCGGTTTTCATACTATAGCTGGTTTGGCCCCATTTGTGTCAGTGCAGCTTTGAGATTCAGTAGATGGATATCAGTGCATTGTATTAAATTGGAATGATTTGATCTCAACCATGTTAAACTGAGCTGTATGGGGAAGTGTGCTCACCTGTTGGTAACAGATTTGTATAGGTTTACTGTTTTGTGAATTGCAGTATGTTTTAATTTCCTAACGATCTTTAAAAGCCGTCTGTTAAAACAGGAAGTCTTTGGAAGTGGATGAGGCAGTTAAAAATGTGACGGATGAAGTTATTGACTCATTCCAGAAGGATCTAAAATAGGAGGTCATAAATACCTGTTTTAATGTAAGATTTGAGATACAGAGCGGTGGAATTTTTATTTTTTTTTAAGGGAATGGGGTGTCAGGAATGCACCACTCTTGCAATAGTTGCAGCGACTCTATCGACACTTCAAAATAAGAGGGGACTATTGAGATGAGGGGAACAAAAGCACATAGAATTTGGGAGTTTACGTGTAATTTGTGCGGAGATCTCATCATGCAATGGGTAGTGTCCTGCCTCTAGGCCAGATGCTTCAGGTTTGAGTTCCACTGGTGATAACCAGAACTGATCACAAGTGTTAGTGTAGGTGGAGACCATTCAGCCCATTTTGTCTGCACCAGTTCTCCAAATGAGTAACATTGATGCCCAAGGAGAGTACATTCACCACCTGGCCCAAAAGGGTGAACCTCGAACTGTAAATCTTAACAATACCCCAAAAGCAGGCAGCAAGAGTGGGAGTGTGTGCAAGTCAGCCACGTGATGGAAGTAAGTTGGAGCTTTTACCGTTACCATCCATAGCTCCAGATGACAACATGCATTTCAAGGTCCATATTGCTACAGCATCTCCAACTACAGTGTACCACCCACCACCATTGCCTGAAATTGCCTCTTGATGATGGAGGCTATGTGCCAATATGGATTGGTTAATTTGAATTACTTGTTTTTTTTTAATGAAATTTCAATTGTAGAAACTGTGGAGTATTGACTTAATAACTAAACAACCACTTATCTTGCATTGTTAAAGAATTTTAATTACTTTTATTTACAGAATAACCTATTTCAGAGTATTCAAGAAGGAAAGTATGAATTCCCTGATAAGGACTGGGCACACATCTCCTTTGGTGCAAAGGATCTCATAACTAAACTCTTAGTCAGAGATGCCAAGAAGAGGCTCAGTGCAGCACAAGTTCTGGAACACCCATGGGTGCAGGGGGTATGTTTCATTAGAAGTCAAGATTTACAAATATCCAAACTGTTTATGTACTGCACTTTCTGACTGCAATTCTGCTATATGTGCATTGATTGTGTTCTTTCCTTTTTGCTTTCAGCACGCACCAGAGCATACACTTCCAACACCACGCCTTCTCCAGAGGTACGTTTACAAAGCTTTGTCTGGAGCTTGAGTGTGCATTTAAAATCACTTAACATAACGGGAATTTTGAGGGGAAAATTGACAGCAAAAATTACTGCAATGGAGCAAACTCAAACCTACTTCCAGCAACAAGGCAAAACAAAAAAAATCCTAATGCATTGTTGCTTGGTTGGGGGGGGGAAAGGTGATGAAATTCTAATATAACCAAGCCGTGATATGCTGCAAAATGCTGACAATCTGGGCCATTAATCCTTGAATTTATATATTAACAACTTCAAGATCCATTTCTACTGATTTTTTTTTTACCTTGTGCTTTTGACCATAGTATATTTTCATGGATTGTTCCATTTGTTTGTTTAGTGAAGGGGCTGCAGCTTGTAACACGAAAGCCACTGTAGCAAAGGATTGTGAATGGATTAGCAAGTGGTGAGGAAGCTGAAGCGTTCAGGATTTGGAGCCTGTTGTTGTGATGTGCTTTGCTTTTAAAGCCGTGTTGACTCTTTGTTCTGTCCTGTCCCTCAGGAACAGCAGTGCCAAAGATCTGACATTCTTTGCAGCTGAAGCAATCGCAGTAAACAGGCAGCTGACTCAGCATGAAGAAAATCAGGACGAGGAGAATCAGCCAATCCTCATCAAAGCTACCTCATGTTCCATGCGACTGTCTCCACCCTCAGAATCGAAATTGGCCAAACGGAGGCAGAAGACGAGTGCAATCAAAGCAGCCAATCAGCAGTTGTTGCCACCGCTGGTTCTGGTTGACAATTGTGTGTGATGTCACTTCTTCCCTCAAGCACATAGCAACTAAACCCAGAACCTTCTGGTTGGTTGGCTTCTAAGTCTGGCAATTTTACAGTACTGCTCCACATAAAGAACTGTTTACAGCATTTGAAACCTGCATGGGATAAGTATGCAAATCCCCGAGATGGTACTAAGAGTCAAACTGAGAAAAGGGCAAGGATTTAAATAACGACTTTTAGTCTCTTCACCAAAGGAATGTTTTTAATAGCAGGTTTTAAATTTTATTTTGTACTGTGATCACCTTCATGACAACTATAGTTTAGATTTTGCTGCTTTTTACATTGGTATCCATTTGGGCCACTGGTTCTGGAGCGCAGTGTCTATACAATATACAACTATCAGTTTATTTTTCCAATAAGGTCTTCCTGGACACTGGCCTTCGTGCATTCGGCAGGCTTACCTGGGTTTGTTATTGGCTGCAAAAGACCTGCACTTCAGAAGCAAGCACCTACTAAAAGGCAGCAATTTATTTTGCATTTTCAGAACATGCAGGCTTGCTCCTAATCTCCAGTGTAAAAAAAAAAATCAGGGCTACATTTTTGCATACCAGACTCTTGAGAAGACTGAGAGAGATTTTGTATATTGTGTTTTTTTTAAATCTCTAGTTGTACACCTATTTTCTCTAATATCAATGTGACTTTTTAAAATCTCACCCACTCTGACCAGCATGTCCTAGAAAAAAAATTCCTTTAATTTCTGCCAAGTTCATAAATGTAAGTATATTCTACATTTATTTTGAGTCTTTGGGAATTTGTAGCAGGACTTTAGTTCAGGAAATATGACAATGTGATTGGTGATGGAGAAGAACAAGAATTTGACTGAGAAAAAGGCATTCCAGATACAAAAATACGAGTAGTCTTTCTCTAAGATTGCGTGAAATCTTCCAAATGTTTTCTTTTAGAAAGTGTTTACGTCTCCGTTTCTAATATGTCTGTGGATGGAGTCTGAAAGTGCCACATTCTGATTTTGAAGTTTTGAAAAGTGGGTGCTATCTGTTTGTGTAATATAGGCAGGATTGGCCTATCCTTCTTTTGTGTTAATGTGGTGGTTATTTTCAAAGCCATTGAATGTATATGTTGAGCTTTTCACTATTGCAGAAATAGAGTGCACAAAACTGAATCGGACATTTGAAACCCATTTTTGAAATGTACCATGAAATGCAAGCATACTTTATATTTCCATGTGGGGAGGTTGTAGCAACAACACCACCTTTCTCTATACTCTACTGCTCTGTATCAGTCGGGTTGGGCAATCACAAGCTATTGCAGGAATTAAAGAAATGCTGTCCTTTTGTGGGCAGTTTTAAATTGAACTTGCATAAATGACCCCTGAATTGGAACAGGGCAACTAGTTCTGCCACAGGAATGTGTAGCAATCCACTGCCATCTTAATTACCGTAAAAATGTTCTACTAATGGAAAGATATGGGTAGGAATTACAGCTCCCAGAGACATTGAAGTAAAGTTTTTCTTCGATTCTCAACCTCACTGAAGGTAGTCACTTTTGACCATCCAAGCAAATTTGCAATTTGTGACTGTTCTGAAAGACTTTGCTGCCCCTTATCAATAAAATGAGAGCCCTTGGTGAAGACAGGAATAGGTTTAGCTCTAATATCTTCTGATCTACTATTTATGGTCACTGTTCATACGTGAATAAGGAGCGCTTACATGAGGTGCAGAGGGCAGCTTCAACAGTGGAATATTATCCACCTGGGGTACTGATGTCTGTAATGGAGTAGGGGAAAGTGTGATGAAATCTAAACTGTTTCCTTTCATCTAAAATGTTTTGAGTCTGTTTGTACTTGGTGACAGTAACGTAGAAACAAACGTGGCTGAATGATCTCTTGGCTACAGTACTGGCTGTTGAGATCTGGTTTGCATTTTTAAAGGGGTCACTTTTTGGCTGACTTCAAATGATCACCTAAGTTTTTTTGTAAGTTTGCTTTTCTAAGTTTAGAAGATGTATGTGCAAAAAAAAAAAAATTGCGAGTGGCAACTTCCTTGCAGTGAATGACGTTTTGTAGCTTCAAAACTGCTTCCCAGGAAAGGTTGGGAATTCATACCTCAATTTGTAGAGCTGGCAGCAAATAATTTCACTTCTGAAATCAGTTCAGATATGAAAACGTTCAAGATTGATCCCAAAGTCTTTCAACTTGCTAAAGGAATTTTGTTAGGTAAATTAGTAGATATAACTTATGCAGGGGTCAAAACTCTCTATTGGAATTTCTTTTAAAAAAAATTATCCCATTTTAATGCAAGTTCCCTGTTGGTTCCATTGCTCAATCCAACGCTACATTCTGAAACAGTATTATCAGCAATTGTACATTATAGTGAAAAGCTGGTAGTACAAAAAACCAATTTAAATTGTCAAGTACATTGCTATTATGTTTGCTGAATAAGACATACGTCCTTGGTGTCTTATACTAAGACTACTTGAATTTTGTATGCATTGCATCATCTCATTTGAATGCTACCTTGTGCTGATGGTAGCACAGCTTGGTTTAGTTAAGCATAGGCCATAATCGAGCACTGTTGGTATATTAGCTAGCTCCTAAGGGGCATGAAGCGAAAGCACTTTACACACCAGGTGACTGATGAGGCTCACTCTAAATCTTCTTACTGTTGCCAGGATTTTTGTATTGTTTTATAAAAATTTTAATAAATGCTTTGAACTTAATGCTTTATTGTCGTCTTTAACAAAATAGAAATAACATTTGTGAGGGGGTGGTGAAGAAGTATTAATTCTTGTCCCATTCCAAAGAACCACTTGTTCAGTTAAGTACAGATGCTGTGGTGGCATCCATGGATTAATCTGTGCTGGTGTATTCGGTAATAAAGCAAGCTAGTGACAAGCAATGGATGCTGCAAAGAAGCAATGAAAGCAGTTTTGCATTTGTATTGCAGTTTGCATGTTTTCAGGATGTCATAAAGAAGGACTTTGTTCTTCTAAAATGCAGAAAACACAGCTGCTAACTTGTGCACAGCAAGTCTGTACACACACACACACACAATTGAATATCAGGATCATATTAGGTGTTTGGAATATGTGGGACCAGAATGTTGCCAACACTTCCATGCTCTTTCAAGGAATAGCATTGGTCTTTTTCTCCAACCTAGGGGTGGCAGGCCAGGCATTAAGTGTAAGGTCAGTGAGATGGCACCTCCCATAGTACAGTACTCTCTGAACTGCAGTGCATGCTCCGGTTTCTGACTGGTATTGAAACTACTGCTTTATAATGTCAAGGTGAGAATGCTACCGCAAAGTCCTATTTTAATGCTTAAAAAGGCAATATGTTTAATTTGGTATATGCACTCTGTTTCATCTGGCTTTTCTAATATTTGACACAATGAACAACTGATGAAATGCTGTACAATATGTCCGCAATGCTTCTCAACCTTTGACACTTTAGAGCTGATGCATAAATGCCCAATTCTGAAACCTATTGTTGTCTTACACAGGGAAGTAATGATGTTAAACGCATTCCTGCATGTTTGCATGGGAACCTATAGTTCACGCAGATATAGAGGAGCTGATTACAAACCAGACTTGTACAGATGTGGGTGATTTTAGACAGACAGCACCTTAAGTGGTTCACATTAATCACTGACAAATGACGCATTGTTTAGATGACTTTGGTTTATAGTTCTTGTGTGCAGCTTACAGCTTTTACAATGTTGACAAAACTCCATTCAAACTAATGAAAATAGTTCTCTACCCTTTCCCGAAAATGATCATTTATACAGGATGGTATGTTTGAGTTGTGGAAGCTTATTAATGCCTACTCAAGTGTCCTCCACACAGGAGCTTAGAATGAGTTGAAAGATGATGTGGTTATGGAAGTATAGTCAAGTTCAGTCCTATCTTTTCCTAAGTATTCTTTCGGAAGGTATTACTGGATAGGGAGGAATTTTAGACAATGTCACATTCCCATTCTGTCTTTAATGACATCACAATGCTAATGTTGAACTATTGCCAGGGCCACTGGTTCATTAATGGAGGAACACAATACAAACGTAGTCGGAGGATTAGAAACCATTCCCTGTAGCTGAGAGCAATGGTCCAAAATGCTGTGTTGCCTGCTGGTGCTTGGGTTCAGGACATTGCTCTGGGATAAAGAAGAACTTGTTGTGGAAAGGGTAAGATAGACTTGTCATTCACTGAGAGAATTATGAGCACTTAAAGGCTTATGTTTTAAAGGCAGACTCTCAAGGGCAGTAATCTCTGGGTGACTACCTTAGCCATGAGCAAATTGGCATAGGGCCAACAAGATTTAGACTAAATGTGTGGATTAAAGCATGTTGTGGGAGAAACGAGTGTTGATTTATGGGGCAAAGACATCATTGCTGGAGAAAATGGGAGCCTATACTCTTGGGATGGTCTTCATCTAAATTTGTTCTGGACCCATTCCAGTGAGTCATATAACTAAAAGTGGTAGAGAGGGCTTTAAGCTAGATAAGGGGAGAAGGAATAAAATTTGGTAATCTTTGATAAGAGGAGCTTGAATGATGATCAGAGCATAAAAAAGGCAGGTATGTCATATACAAACCTAAAAGTGCACCAGTAGTTGCGGTTAGCTGTTACAAAAATAGTAAAAAGATAACTCTGCTTGTGGTATTTGCAATTAAACAGATAATTGTCTGTGCAAATAGAAATACATACTTGTGATCTGCGAATCATTTGCTTAGAACATGGCTAAAACTGAGACCATGATATTTCATGTATGTGTAATGTTTAGGAAGAATAAAATGTTGGAAAAAGCTGGAGAGTAGTCCTGTTGTTTAAAGATGAGGTTTGTACAATTTGAGAGGTGAAATTACATCTTGATCTCCGGGAGCAATTTGGATAGACGTAAATAGTAAGTCACTGAGTAAGTAGTATGCCCTTTAACAGTCCATAATGGAGATTGGGCATACAAAAAAAGAGGCTTGTGAGATCGGTACAATGATGGACATGCATGAGGTCAATTCATCTAGTTTAGATGAATCAGATTGGTGAAGGTGGCTCCATTGAGTGAGTCCTGAAAACAGCCTTACAGCAGCATATCCGACAACTGACCAGAGAAGGCTAAACTAGATCTGGCAACGTTTATATAACAGGACTAATCGTTGACAATGGCCCTAGGCAACAGTCCTCACATGATTGATTTTGTTTTCTTGCCTGGGTTTTATGAATTTTCAAATCATCACACTTCGGGTTTGAAGAAATAAGAACTCCAATCTGTTTAATTTTTGGAAGCTGCAGGTACAGACCGAGCCCCTGCTTCAAAGTGCACTAGACCTGTTCTGTTACATATGACATAAGTGCTTCTGCAGGGGCATTTGAGTGTTTGCCATCATATCTCCTGTGGTGTTTTTAAAATTTAAATATGGGCTATTTGAGGTCATGAATATAGCTGGCTGAAGTGAACTCGTGTGTTAAATAGGCCAGTAGAGATGTAGTGGAAGATGTTTTTAAGGAGGTTATTTCACAATGTTCAAAAATGATGCATTTTGGCAAGAAAGAGTCAGAGGAAGGAGGCACGGTCAGTGTCCACCCAAGAAAGTTAAGTGTATAAAATTGAAAGAAAAAACATAATTCTGCAAAGATGAAGGCAAGTTGGAAGATTTGTCATTCTTTGGTTACATTTTGATTTTGTTCAAAGATTAAAGATGGAAAATTGAGAGTACAAGAGAAAGCCAGCTAGAAATGTGAAAACCGTTTCTATTTAAAAAGGAAACTAAGTGAAAGTTATTAGTCTGGGGAATTAATAGGAAATTACAGGCCGGTTGGCTTAACGTCTGTTTGAGACGTGCTTGTATCTAATATTAAAGAGAGTGTAGTGAGGCACTCGGTGCAACCTGGCCGTTTTGTGACAATGATGATCAGGACCCTAAAATATTAGTTATGTTTCTTTGATTCTAAATGTACCATTTTGTAGATGTCTTTTTTTAAAAGATACACCATAATTGCAGGTGTAATTTCAGTGGTTGGCAAGCTGTGGCACCAATGTGATGTATTGTCAAAGTGTCAAAGAAACTTGAAGCAATGCGCAGTGATCTCATAACTGCAAAGATATTGAGGACCTGACACTCTTGCTCAACAGTCAGCCACCCCGTGGATTGCATTCCAAACTCCAAAGACATTTTGTGTCCTTCCCTTTTGAAGAACAATTAGAACAGATTAAAAAGACAGTTTTATTTCTACTGGAGTGGACTAGTGGGACTGAAGGAATGTTTTGTGTGCTAGCTTGAGTTCAAGTTTTAGTGCACTGTGAAGGTCACAGCCAAAAACACACTCTCCTAGTCACCCTGCGCTACAGGTAAATGGAATTCTCATTGAGAAGCAGCCAGACAAAAGGAAATAGGACAACTGAAAGACTCTTTCACCCTGAATGCTGGAATCTAATCTGTCAAAAGAAATCAGAACTACAGATTCTCAGCAAATCTGCAAAGCTAAGGCTCACAAAAGTGATGATTCAACTGCCTACATCAAAATCCCCAGTAACTTCAACTGCAACAGTCCATTATTCAACTATCTGCTCTGGTAGAAGAATAAAGAGACTGATTTTTTTTTTTTTTAAAGCATATCCCTTTGGACTCACACAAGAGGTATGTGTGTTGCATTACTAATTTTTGCATTATTATTAATAAATACATTTTCTTTTTGTTACCTTTTAAAACCTGGTTAAATTGGCTTTTTTTTTTAAAATAAAAAAGTTCATTTGAGTCTGGGAGATAGGTATCCACAATGGGAGATTTCATACTAACCTTGTGGTCAATTGAGGGGGAGGATGAAAAAAAGAGTCAGTTCATCTCTCCACTCTAGGAGTTTTAACAGTTTGGAGTATCTTATCCAGAATTGTAACAAAATGGGGAGTTTTGCCCTGGGTCTGGTCATCTAGGTACATTATACAAGTGGATATGCTTGTCGCTGTCTGGTTCATTAGTCTTTGTCTGGTGGCTGGAGCATTTCAAACTCCAAATGCATTATGGTACCAGTGTGACCTATCTAGATTTACAAAGATGGAGTTTGCTTCACCTGCAGTCAAGGCACCTGCCAGTATAGACTTGAGTAAATCTATCTCTGCAACGTGGGCTGCTTTATCTATCCTTGCAATTTTAATCTTCCAGTTGGGGATGTTGAGCAGGAGTCAGCACTGGTCACAGCATTAACCTTTCAGCAGTCAATGCAAGCCTTTGTGGACCCATCTGTCTTGGGGATCTCCAGTAGGTAGTTAATCTCCTCCCAGGACTAAACCAGATTTTCTGGGCCTAGCCAATGGGGATGTTGCCTCGTGGGAGGGTCCTCTCCCACATCCACATCATAGAGTAGATTGTTGCTGTCTGCCTTGTTTCTGCATAAGTTCTTAAATACGATGAGCAGCCTCATTAAGTCTGTTTGCTGTTTTGCACCTAAGTGGGTAAATAACAAGTGTACACTTTCTGAGATAGTAGGAACTGCAGATGCTGGAGAATCTGAGGTAACAAGGTGTAGAGCTGGATGAACACAACAGGCCAAGCAGCATCAGAGGAGCAGGAAAGCTGATGTTTCGGGCCTAGACCCTTCTTCAGAAATGGGGGAGGGGAAGGGGGTTCTGAAATAAATAGGGAGAGAGAGTGTGGCGGATAGAAGATGGATAGAGGAGAAGATAGATGGAGAGGAGACAGACAGGTCAAAGAGGCGGGAATGGAGCCAGT